CAAACAAACAAAAACTCACAGACACAGACAACAGTATAAAGGTTGCCAGAAGGAAGGGAAGGGGTAGTAAAGGGTAAAGGGGATCAAATATATGGTGACAGGAGATTTGATTTTGGGTGGTAAACACACAATGTAATATATAGATGATGTATCATGGAATGTCACCACAATAAATTTAATATTTTTTAAAAGCTCTGCTTTTACTTTGCTGTCCTCAGTCCCAGTACCAACAATGGAAACATCCTTTATAATAAAAGGCTAATATGCAAATAGACCGAACTGCGGAACAACCAAACCGGTTGCTGTGATGTGCGCTGACCACCAGGGGGCATGCATGGAACATGGCGGCAGCAGGCAGCAGAGGATGGAACATGGCGGGCATTAGCCACAGCGGGATGGTGGAGCAGGTGAGCGGGGCTGCAGATCAAGGAGGGGCACCGGTGGCTGTCATCGGGGCGAGCCTCTGGTGGTTACTAAAAATTCTTTGCTCCTGCGCACCATGGTCTCGCCCGGCGCTCACACCTGCTGCCAACACTGGCCCTGATCGCCCCTCAGGGCTTCTCCACCTCCCCCTGCTCCCCAATCGCTCCATGCTGTCAGCGGGTGCAAGTGGGGCTGGCACCGTCAGCACGTGGGAGTGGCGGCAGACAAAGGACCAGGGGCCAGTAGGAGGGGCCGGGCGGGGGTGTGGGGGATGGGCCGGGTGGCTAGGGACCCTACTCATGCATGAATTTCGTGCACTGGGCCTCTACTTATTTAATAATGATTAACTTATTTTGATAAATAATGAATGAAATTCCACTTTTAATATTTAGTTCTTTAATATCAGAGGATTTTTAAATAAAGGTCAACCTGTGCCATGTATTATTCCTTTATAATATGAATTTGTTGGTTATTTGTTTTGCATTTAGTTTTCAGTGTTAGAGTAGGTTTTGTTTTTGTTTTACGTTTTAATAAACCAGAACCATGAAATCTATTTTTCTGTCAAATATCATTGGATAGGAATTTTTACTGAATTTTTTCAATAAAAACGATTTTAAGTATAATAATTTTACATGCAATAAACATTAATATTTCAAGAAAAAAGATTTTAAATATAATAATATTACCAAAACTTTACTAACATAGTATAATAAACACAAAATTTGTAGGAAATATTAAAAATCTGCAAATAACAGGATTACTTCTATTATATTCTAAAATTTTTTTTTTACTGATCTTTTTAGAAATAATATTTTTATTATTGGCTTGCTTGGTAACATGTGATAATATTTTGGAAGTCTCCATATTATACTGATAGAGTATTGTTTTCCTCCCTCAGTAACTTGTGTAATATACATGGTGATTGAAATAATTATTTGACTTAGTCAAAGAAGTACAATACTGTTCCTTCATTTTTTATTTTTATACTTTCTTCATTTTTATTAATTGGAAGTCAAATAGTATACAGTGATTGATAGACACAATTCTGGATGACTGTGGAGGTTCATCTCCCTCTTTCCCCTTTTGGTAGTTTAGTGAAAAGCTGCATCAGCTGAAAACACTCTGAAGTCTGTTCTCTGAGCTGCAGCATGCAGATCTTGACCCTGCCACAGGCACAGCTTTCCGGCATTGTTCTGGGGGCCTGGAAATTCCTTGATATGTTTCTTATTTCCCAGAGAAACTGGGAGTTAACTAGTCCTTCTTAGGCTAACGGGTAAGCATGGTGTGTGTGGAAAGGGAGGAGAATATTAACTTATTACTCTCTCTTGGAGTGCTTTCTGTGCATGTCCAGCCAGCTGACTCAGGCAGGCCCCCAACTGCAGGAACTTTGTTCATGTTGCATACAGAACATCTAAGCCCAGCCTGTGCAGTGGAATGAATTTGGGTACCTGAACATGCTTTTACTTTTCTGTTGTCAGTTTTTTCTCAACCTGCCTTCTGCTATGTCTGTGCTATGTGGTAGTAGTGTGTGTGTCTGTGACCCCTTTATGGGACAGGAATCCTTTGAGGTCTTTTAGCAGAAAGGTACTGCTTTGAATAAGAGATGGCAAGTATTAAATGCTAGAGCCAAGTGGAACAACACTTAGAATACCACCTGAAATGACAGGGCAAGTATAAAACATTAGGTAGGTTACATTTTTGTATGAGTATTTCTACAGAATGTATACTGTTATTTAAGATACAAAGAAAGCTACTTGCCTAGCTTAAAGTAAATATCTTATAATTACTGTCCTAAGTTCTGTTTCTCAAACTGCCCTTGCAGCCTATTCCTTCCTTTTCTATCTCTGGTTAGATAGTGTGGAAGTTACAAAATATCCAAAGTCACGTGGAAAGACTGAGCAGAGAGTCAAGGTTTAATGGAACTTTGAGATGAAGTAGGTTGGTCTGAGCCTTGCTTTGTCTGAAGTTCTTCACAGTTTACCTCTCAGGTATTAGCCACCCTAAAATCTATACTTTGAAGCTGATAGTTTTTAAAAATATTGTTAAATCCTTTTTTATAACTCCAGATTAGCTAAATTGCTTATGTGTACACAGTCAAGTTTTCCTGTGAGTGTTTGGGGTAGGATCATATATATACCCCTTGCATTATCATGAGTGATTTTTAATTGAAAACTAGACAGATTACTGGCTGCCAGGAGTTGAGGAGGTGGTGGGAGGGAGGAAAGAATGAGTGACTATAAAAAGGCAACATGGATCTTTTCCTGTTTTGGAAATGTTCTTTATCTTGATTGTATCATTGTCAATATCCTGGTTATAATATTTTACTGTATCATTTTATTCCTTTGACATTGACAAAATTACCTTTTATAACAAGTATCAGTGCTTTCCATTTTAAATATTGCTTTTTGAATCATTATATATTAAAGGAGGCCTTTGTGTTCTATTCTACAGATATTTGAGATATTTGGACCTGTTGCACATCCATTTTATGTATTACGGTTTAATTCTTCAGAACACATTGAGAGTAAAGGTATTAAAATGAAGGACACTATGTATTTTGCTCCATCAATGAAAGACTTCACCCAATATGTATTCACAGGAAAACAGTAAGTAATTTTTCCCACCACCACTAGTAACTGTATTTTAGTTGTTGTTTGCTTATCTTGTATCGTAAATCAGCTAGTGAGATACAAGATGCCTTAATGACCCAATTAATTAGGAGTCATTTATTGCACACGGCCCAGAGGGAGGTATTTCTTCTAAATCTCTGGGCGAAGTCACACAGGAAATAGCCATATTTATACCTTTTGAGCTTCTTTGTCTGCAGATTTTACAAAGAGCTCTGTGTGAGTTATTGTTACAGATAGTTTGTAATCTTGGATACATAAATAACAAACATTTGGCATAAGAATATGGGAATTATTATCAGTATTAGTCCATTACGTTAGATGGCTAGCTTGCAAGGTCAGACAGTTAAGTTTTTATCTTTTTCTATTATTCAAACTAAAACAGTTATTTTATTATAGAATAAACTGTCTAAAAATGACAGTTTACAGAATAAGGGACTATCTAACAATAGCAGAGAATTTCAAACAGCAGTTTTTTATACAACATGGAGGTTACTATGCTTCAATCTAATATTTATATTTTAGGAATAATTCTCAGCAGTGGTAGTTTTAAATAGTATCTGTCTTTTTTAGTTCATTTATCTTCCTAATAACACATCTGAAAGCTACAATTATCAAATTTTACAGCTAGAGATCATTCATATATTTTGCTGACAATGATTTGCTCCAACTAGTAGCAATATATTTGGGCCATATAAACTTTCTGAATTCTAATTCACTGCATTTTTCATTATATGCATTCTTATATATACATGCTACTTCAGTATCAGTATTACCATTTAAAAAATTCTTTTCCATTTTAAATAAAATTTTTATTGGATTAAATTCTAGGCTTATTTCATAATTTTCAAGAAACTTTGTAATTCTCAAGGAAAAAAAGAAAATGAGATTTCAGGTTGCCTGTATATTGTAAACTTACAGAAGAGACCACTAAAATGTGTCCCTGGAAAGTTGTGTATCAAGTGGTGATAAACAGAATTTACTAAAGTGATAACTTATTACTCCCATTTTGTCTGTAACTTATGCTAAATGATGCCTATAGTATGTGGGTAGTAATATTTCCACATATGTATGCTCCCACTGGTTGTGTATTTTTCTGTGTTAATTGTGTTGCTAAGTGTTAGCTGTAAAGCTGCTTATATCATTCAAACTTATTATTATTTAATTTAATTTTTATGTAAACTAATGGCATATAGTTCAAGTAGAATAGCCTTTTCTATAAAAATTAGTTGAATGCTTCATAAAGCTGTAATGAATATGAGCTACTAAAAATATTGTCAAATTAGAAGTGGAAGAAAAGGCCACAAAACATTGGGAGGGGGAGTGGGGATCTTAAATCCAAAAAGACTACACTCAGTTTGACACACAAGTCTCTTTCATGGGTGAAACATCAGGGATATGGTTTTTGTAAGAAATAGAAAGGCAACTTCAAGCAGTGAATAGTATTAGTGCTATGACAAAAGTACTAGGCATAAGAAAGTCTCTATACTACTTACATATTAAATCAAGTCTCTGAATTTCATTCATTATTTCAGAAATGAAAATTTTGTTCCTGATAATTAATTCAGCTTATGTTTAAGAATCCACATAATTATCTGAAGGACCATTTTACAAAACCTAACCTATTCTTCAGGCTGTGTAAAGTTAATTTTTCTAAATAACTGCTAAGACAGGTGAATTAAATAGACAGCAAAGTTGTAAAGATTATGTAATATATTTTAAAATCATGCCTTAAATAATTAGTATTCCATTCTGCTTTGAATATTAGGGTGTTGCTGTGGATATGCCATATATTTTTCTTTTGCCATATAAAATTCTTTAGCTTAAAACAGATAAAACTAAAAAAAAATTCTGAAATATTTATTAAAATAGATTTTGAGTAATAGGAGCAGTCTTTGTTTTTTATTTGTAAGAACAAGAATTTTGTCCTGGGAAGAAATAATAAACTAAAGAGTTGGGGAATTAGGCCTACTCTGCAGAGGCACCACTTTGACCTCAGGAGAGGTCAGAGCCTGTTCTGTTCAAGACTGCATTTTGGTGTCTGTCATGGGAACTCAGTGGAATACTTTGCCTTTGAGGTAGAGAAGGTCAGCTCCACTCCAGCTAACTTGCCTCTAGGAAGGCTGTTTAAATCTTAGCTACCTACGCATGAACTTTCTGTGAAAAGTGGTTTTTCAAATGTTGCTTGATCTTTTCTTTAGTAGATTTTGATTTTCAAAACTAAATGCACTATTTGGGGCACTTTTCCCATTAGTGTCATTAAAGTCCAAACTAAAGGCACCACGGGCCATGAGATGGCATATATGGAAAAAAGGAGTACTAGAGCTATGTTAAATGTATAGGTGTACAAGGATAATTTTTTTTAAGTGGTGGAAAAATCACTGTTAATGCCTCACATATAATGTCAAAGTTCTGAATCAAAATTTCAGAATAAACTTAATGATTTCCATATTGTGCCAGATTGACATCTGTCAACTGAATTTTATGGATTTAAGATTAATGAATTAATGATTTTAATGAATTCTTAAGAACCCCATTTATTTTTGAGATCTAGTTTAAAGCAGTGAGGGACGAATACTTTTTAATCCTATATAATAGAAGTGTTAGTATGCAAATTGTCCCCTCGACCAAGAGTTCTTCCAGGAGTTCGACCAGGGAGTGGAGCCGGCTGGGGGAAGGGCAGGAGGCTCTGGCTGGCAGCAGGTGGCCAGAAGAAGGGAGGGAGGCTCTGGCCGGTGTCAGGTGGCCAGGGGAAAAGAGGGAGGCCCTGGCTGGCGGCGGCAGGCAGCCAGGGGAAGGGAGAGAGTACCCAGCCGGCCGCCACCAGCCACTAGCGACCCTACCAGTGCACTGGGCCTCTAGTCCTATATAATAAAAGCCTAATATGCAAATCAACCAAATGGCATAACAACCTGTTGCTATGATGCTCACTGACCACTAGGGGGCAGACATTCAATGCAGGAGCTGCCTGCAGGCCCCAGGCCCTCCAAGGTGTGTGCCAGCAGCCTCC